TGTTAGAAAATACCTTGCGGAGCCAAGCAGCATGTCCCAATTTAGTCCAATTTGGGGTAATCAGCTGTTTGCTCCAGGCAGGGCAGATGGAACATTTAGGATCTGGGCGTCGCAAGGCTTAAAAAGTATTGGCGATCTTTACTCACCAAATTCTGATACATTTTTGTCATTTGGTGTTCTACAAACCAAATTCAAGCTAGATAAAAAGCATTATTTTAAATTCCTTCAGCTAAGAAGCTTTGTTAAAGCAAATTGCAGTGATCTTAACAAGCCTCCCCTTACACTACTTGAAAAACTAATGATTCGGAATAGATCAAAAAAGGGCATAAATTCAGATTTTTACAATCATTAGAGAATTCATTCATTCTCTAATGAATTCTCTAATTCATTAGAGAATTCAAATAATAATCTTATAAACTGGAATTTGGACTTATCATCGAATATCAGTGAACAGGATTGGGAAAGGGTTTGCATTAAAACTCACACAATGTCCATAAACAGTCGTCTCAGAATTCTACAATTTAAATGGCTAATGCGTGTTTATGTTACGCCCGTGCATTTAAATAAATACAACAACAACATCCCAGATTCTTGCGTAAAGTGTAATTCTAAAGGGACTCTAATACACTGTATGTGGGAATGCAGACAAATTAATGCATTTTGGGCAGAGGTGAAGGATACAATTGAAAAAATCATCCTAAAGCAAATTCCACTGGATCCTAAATTATTCCTGTTGACTTTATACCCTGAGAAGCATAACTTTAGTAAAGTAGAATGTACTTTTATTGATATAAGCTCATTAATTGCAAAAAAATGTATTGCTTTATCTTGGAAAAATGTCACCAGACCTGGTGCCTCACAATGGTTAAAGGAGATGGCATCTAATTTGCCACTAGAAAGAATAACATATATTAAGAAATCCAAACAGCATCTTTTTGAGAGGATTTGGGGGCCTTTCATTAGTTTTATTAAGAACTTAGATTTGTCAGAGGGACTGTTTGAGTTTTGATTTTACGGAACCTGCAGTGTACCATGCTGTATAGATGTGTACATTTACATGTAACCAGTTTGTAATCTGCTTGAATACCCCTGTCTTTGAGAAGCTGTTTCTTGTTTTGTTCGTTTGTTTTGTTTTGTTTTGTTGTTTTTTTTGTTGTTGTTGTTTTTTCCCAGTCATGTAATAACCACAGAGAAACCATGTTCAGATAGTTACATGATTTGTATTTTCAAAATTTCAATAAAAATATTTTGGGAAAAAAAAAGAAAGAGATTTTGAAAAAAAAAAAGATTAAAAGAGATAAAAACATTAAAACCAACTGGGATTACTTTAGCCAAAGGAACCTGGATTTAAAGGAACTCAGTGTTTCAGCACTTTTTCAGTTTTCTTGGAGTTTGTTCTAGATCTGTGGTGCATAGAAGCTGAATGCTGCTTTTCCATGTTTGGCTCTGGTTCTGAATGCAGAGCAGAACCAGAACCAGATCATTACAAATGTTTGTCTTAATTCTGCTAATGTCCAAAAAAAAAAAAAAACAATATCACAATTAAGGTGTTTTCATTAAATAAGAAATTACGTTTAAATCACACGTGAATAAGCTTGTTCACGCGGTAAGTAAGTCCAAAAAAAAGAAAAGAAAAAAGAAACAACAAAACAGAAACAATCTACCTCCTGCTACTTCCGGTCGTTTCTTCTTCTGTTGAGCACGTGACTCGTGTGACGTAAAGAACTTTTCCGCACGGCTGAAAAATCTCACCCCAGCAAAAATCTTTTATCAAAACACGTGAGTCATTACACTAATTGATTTTCGTAATTTCAATTTGTGCAATTCTATAGTTAATGGAAGCGCAGGTGCTGCTGCAGTAAGAAATGCGACTGAAGATAAACACATGGATGTTTCTTTAGAAATTTCCAGGATTTCAACATTGTTTTTGTTATTTTTTTGCAGTTTAAATAAGATTTTTCAGGTCTACTTTGGGAATATTTGCAAGGTGATATTTTCCTCCCAAAATCTCTCTCTCTCTCTCTCTCTCTATATATATATATATATATATATATATATATATAAAGAAAAATCATATAGTTTTGTTCCTACCACATGAATACAGACATGAATACTCGACGCCTCATTGGACGCCGAGGCCTACGTTACGTCGCCGCCATCTTGAAATGTGGCAGAAGAGTGATCCTCCATGTGCTGCGTGGTTTTGTTTCAACCGTTTTACAGTACAGACTGGAGCCATTAGCGTTACTTTTCACAGGTAAGAATGTAAGAAGATAACAATTTCACTAGCAGAATTTCTTGACATGATTTTCTATGTAACTAAATTGGCCTAAAGTAACTTCTCTGGTTTTAATTTTACAGGCTTAGCTAACGTTTTTCATACTGCAGGTTTTCTAATGCAAGAGAGCTAATGCTAACGAGAAACTGCTCATTAAAGACCGCAGGATCAGAGCGGCGTGTTTTCATCCAGTCTGATGGTTCCCAGCTCAGCTTCTCCATGTTGGGTAGACCTGACCTTAACCCTCTGACCCTGACCTTAACCCTGACCCTCACCTTTAACTGTGAAGATGCTCCAAAAAGGGTCGAAGGTCAGAAATGCAGTTCTTTGTTGCTTTTTTCCACAGTTGCAGGCAAAACATGGTACAAACTTCACAGGAGCCCTTTGGTTCACCTGATTGTCTCACCTGTGGGCTGATTGGCTGGCAGTGAGGATAACAAACCATGTGACCATGTAAAGTCCTAATCCCTACCTATTGATATGTGAGACACCTGTGGCGCAAACTGGAATTAATTAACTGATTAAACAAATTACTAGCCAAAAAAACCTATTCCAAATAACTAAAATAACAATAAAAAACATTCTAATGATAAATTAACCTGAAAGTAAGTAAATAAATTTATAATCAAAATTCTAAGATTTAACTGAAAATAGGGAGTGGTTCCTACACACTTTGTGAATTTTCAAATTCAGTATCTTAACACAGTTTGTGTAATGAAATAAAAATAATTTAGTCTTAGATTTTTTTTCACACATTGCCCATAGCAGAGTTGATGTGTTACAGTGGAATAATATTTTTTTCTGACTCCAGATCGTTCCTCTTCAGGTCTGAGATAATAAATTCAGTTTCTGATCAGCTGGAGAAAGTTTTGGCTCTTCCACACATTTATCAGCATCTGCACTGTAAAAACTGTTGGCAGCTGTGGTTTTCCTGTACAAATGACAGATAGGAAGTAATTAATGCTGCTAAGAAAATCCCAGGTGAATTACAGAAATTATCTATTAAATCTACAAACATTAATTTTGCAGAAATGTCATGTAAAACGTTCAGCATAAAGTCACTAATATGTTTTGTATTTTCAGAAATAACTTAGATTTTTCCAGTATTTGAATGTCAAATTCCAGGGTTTTCCCCAGTATATTATAAGCCTGGCAGCCCGCCATGCTTTGCTAAGCCCCCCACCAGGCTAAGCATTGCTTGTTTTTATTTTTAGAAAAATTAAATGGGAAAAAAAAAAACTTGCTTAATTATTATTTATTTTAGATAAATCTTTAACCCGGATTGCAAGACTCTTGTTCTGAGCGTTTCACTCGCGAAGCAGATTTATTTCTGAAAATTTTATAGCTTAGCCAGAGAGCGGACCAATCACACCGCTGGAGCCTCAGCGCGCTGCCGCTGCTTGATCTTTTAAGTTTACCTCAGCGCGGATCAGGCGCTCCTCTTTTCACTCAAACTGGACCCAGGCTGACCTGTATGGATATTTACATCAACCACTGTGAGGAATTATGATTCTTTGGAGAACTCCACATCAAGGTAGGAGTTTAAACCCACCGTGTTAGCTCTGGTTGAGCAGCTCTGTGTGAACCACAGGAATAACGTGGCGTCAGGGGCGCACTACATATTATTCACGTGGATGCTAAAACATAACCCCCCCCCCCCCCCCCCCAAAGGAAGGTAGGAGCGTAGAAAACATATGGCTCTATCCGTATGCGTATGAGGATCATATGTTTACCCCCCCATCCCCCCGAGACGAAGACACATGAAAGGTAAAACTCGCTACATTTACATGTGCGCGAGGTGAAGGAGCTAAGGGCGCGGTGAAGTGTATGCGAGGGCATCATCGGGGCGCCGCCCCCTCCAGATTGACGCCCCCTCTGGTGCAGCGCCCCTATGCGTTGCATGCGCTGCATACCCCCTTTTTGCGCCACTGCGTGGCGCTGTCTGCCCTGTAAAGTTCATGTCTGTGATCCCGGTTGGTTGGAGCGTTAGCGGCTAACAAACCAGCGCTAACCCCATCTTGCAGGTTCAGCCCAGTGAGGAGCTTTCACGCTGCTTTTATTTTATTATTATTCTTCCGGTTACACGAAGCATCAAACCGTATCAGACGCTTTGTCCACTTAGTCAGCCAGAGTTAATGAGCGAGGAGATCTGAGAAACTCGTCCCATAAACTCCAGCAACCAAAACAGTTTCTGTGATTCTAATTAAAACTCAACAGACATGAAATGTCAGAGCTGCTAAAGCCACGTTAGCAGCATTAAATTAAATCTCCTGTTTGTTGCTCAGTGCAGCAGATTTAACTCATCTCATAGTTGTGGGTTTAAATAGCGTTTCACTGGAGATGTTTTCCTGTAACATATAATTATCCAGTGATATTTTTATGTTTCCTGTCAACTTAACATCTTTAATACAAAAACACGGCGGAGCGCCGGGCTGAGCAGGTTTACTGGGGGAAACCCTGGATTCACAGAGTGACTATTACAATATTTTTCAGGGTTTTTTCTACCATTTGTAATTTTTTATGTGTTAATCAGTAGATTATAAATTCATTGACATTACATACATTTTGCAAAACTTGCATAACTTCTCAGAAATTTTTCTTTCACCATTTGTAATTTTAACTGATAAATTTGGTTATATTCACATATTGTTGCTGTAAAAACAACATAAACATTTTTGTTTTCCACCTTATGATATTGTTCTGTTGTGATTTTATGTAGTTTTAATGTAAACTCCACGGCAGTTTTTTGCAGTGCGGAGCTGCAGTCATCAGAAACCTGACGGCGGCCGTCGCTCTGCAGCGCCGGGCCTCCCAGCAGGGGGCGGAGCCTCCAGCCGGAGCCGTTTCCTCCTCCATGGCTGTGGGACTGGGCGTCTGGATTCTGCAGGGAGCGGACGCAGAGCGGCTTGTCTGTAAGTAACGCTGCAGCTCTTTGTTCCCGACTCGCTGTAGATCTGCACAACTCAGCCCAAAGTTAGTGCAAACCAAATATGCATCATTTTATGTGCAGATTGTTGCAACTTTTCTTGCATTTAAAGGTTTTATTTTCATGCATTTTAAGGAGAATCAAAGTTGTCTCTTGACTTTTGTAGATTAACTTGAGAAATGTTTGCAAATTTTCGAGCTTTTTACACAATGAATTTGCAGATTGATGTTGAGATTTCATCCAATCTGAAAAGTTTCATACATTATTATTATTATCATTATTTCCAAAGCAGCTCTGAATATTAATCTGGTTTTCCCTCTTATTCCTCTGATCTGTTTATGTCCAGAAATATTACTAACTCCAGTTTCTGATAGTTTCGTCTTTATTTGCAGCTTCATGTTGGTTTGAAAGCCAGAAATTTTTCACCGTCAGAGATTAAAGCCGCTCGGCTTTAATCTCTGACGTTTCTCTATAATCGGTTCTAACTCTGCCCCCCCTCCACCTGCCCCTCGAATGCCCCCCACCGCTCTATTTGCTCCCCAGGTGACGAGGCAAATGTTCTCTCCGATTTCTGTTAATTCAGTTTCATTCAGTGTCTGTGATGCTTTCGGGTTCTGGAGATTTATGAATCTAAAGGGAATCATCAGTGCTGATCCGAGCCGGCCCAAGTTATACTCCAACACTGTAAGAAATCTATTTAACAAATCGTTGAATCAAATGAACTAAATGCTCACACATGAAAAACAGTTTCCATTTTATTTTTATAATGTTTAGTTCTTCCTGCTGCCACTGCTGGAGAAATATAACACGTAGGCCTGTCACGATAACACATTTTGCTGAGCGATTAATTGTCTAAAAAATTATTGCGATAAACGATAATATTGTTTCAAGACCTTTGGACACTGATTTAATGGAAATGACTAATAATACACGCTATTTCCTGCCATAGATACACTTTAATTTCAAAAGAA